CCTTGCTATTCATTTGTGCTTATCGTTCATTTAGTTTCGATTTTCAATAACACTGTGTCTGGAATCATGCATTATTAATTTTCATAATCTGATGGTCTTTTCTTATACCTAAGTTCACATTATTAACTTATGCACCTATCAATGTTAAGCCCCTATCAGGGAGGGGGGGATTAGACTCTTCCTCATATTTTTCTGTCAATGCCCAACCCTCGGGCTGCAGGATGTTGTCAAATGCATGGGGAAAGTATTGATTGCCAACTAAGATTATAATATCTATGCAACAAAGACATCTTATGTTCATCTACAATTTTCACAAGAAATCAAGCTGTCTCCTGCAGGTTAAATGGTACTGATGATGCCTGATCCTAGGACAGCAGTATCTGGTTAAATCCCCACCAATAGCATCCTGGGACTTAACATTTTGATAGGTGCATTGTGACATAGACAGACAGAATCAGAAGCCGGTTCACACTTGACATAAGACTGAGCAAGGTTATGTTGCTCCAAATCATATTTGTAAGTTTTTAACAGAAACAAACACTGTACTTATTGACTGAGTGGGAGGTCCGTACGGGAAAATATTTGGCTCGAGGTTATGCCGTACGGAACGAGTGCAGCAAGGTCCATACAAATGACCATAAGAGCCAAATATTTACCAGTACGACCCAACCTAACTCAGTCAATAAGCATTTATCATATGATCTAGCATTTTTTAATGTAAAAAAATAAATAAATAAAAGAGTGCAGAACTTCAAGCCGGGAAAATACGGGTTTGTACGGCCCTGTCGTGAAAAGGCATATGGCCCCCATCACATGACCATTTTCCAAAGGTTTTTTTAAGAGCGCACGTAGGGCCGAAATACGGGTCATATGATAATATGATGTTTATGTCTTACTTATGTCAAAGTGAGAACTTGCTCTATTAAGTTTACCTCTTTTCCATTCCAGAATTCAATACCATGTACAGAAAGATAYTCCTGAGATCTCAGTTTCATGTCATTGGCAGCTATTGTAAGTTTCTGAAAAGATATCAAACAATATAGCAATAATCACTAACTTAACGTCAGATAATTTGTTTAAATAGTTAAGTTACAGGACATGCTGTCTCTTTCTTTATTATTGCAGCAAGTTCTCGTGAAATGATCTTTCTCAATACCTTGCTCAATATTGGGCGGTCATAAGGAATATGATCCTCCTTGGCTATCATGACAACACGGCCTGCAGACAGGAAGTAAAAAAACATACAATTTCAATGTCTTTAAAAATAGAAAGATATGCCAATARCACTTGAGTTAACTGACAGCAAGAAGCACTTTAATAGCTTCCTAAAACACTTCAATGRCTTTCTAGCACTTGAAAGGTTTTCAGTATAGTAGTCTTTTCACTTTAAGAGAAAATTGAATAATATTATACTAGATAGAAGTCATATATTTAATGCTAATAACCTTTGAATCCTTCTTCTCTGAGGGTCTCAGCAGCTTTCATAGCAGATCCCCCTATTAGAACAAAAAATATACTATAAATTAATTAAACACATAT